TAAACCACCTCTTATTCCCACTGCATTTCCTGCTGACAGGTAAAAATTGGATTTCATACTTTTTCCCAATTATGTTCTGCCACTCTGAAATATGAGGCTCTTTATGTTTATTTCCTTCTTTCAGTTAACTAAGGTCCAGAGAGAATGGTGGACAGCAGGGAAGAGAGCCTGAGGCAGGAAGGGAAGGCAAGGAAACTGTGAGGACGGCAGGGAGAGAGATTTCTCAGAAGTCTGGTTGCAGTCCCTTGCCAGCTAAGAATGAAGAATTCCAGCACAATTAACATTTCCTGTGAAGATGACATCTTTTCACACACTGCTGCTGAGAATGTTAAAACAGCAATGACCTACCCTTGAGTATGGCCTTACTTTTCCTATACCAGGCATTTTCTGGGAAACAATCAGGAGTATAGCTTTTGTCTACAGTAAAAACACCCTAACTCCTCATGCAGCCTTGATAATCTAGAGTGTTACCTGTTTAATGCATCTCAGAGCACTTTTTAAAGACGTAACTCCAAAACTCAGGCCACCAAATTCCACACATGTTAAGTACATTAATGTTTTTTTTGTTTGTTTGTTTATTATTTTCAAGACAGGATCTCTCTGTGTAGCCTTTGCTGTCCTAGACTAACTCTGTAGACCAGGCTGACTTCAAACTCACAGGGATCCACCTGCCTCTGCTAGGATTAAAGGCGTGCTACTATCCCCAACAGGGTTTCTTTTTTAATAATCTACCATTTTCTACTGTATACACTCTTTCTTTCTTCCTTCCTTTTTTTTTTTTTTTTTAAATTTTGACTTTTCGAGACAGGGTTTCTCTGTGTAGCTCTGGCTGTCCTGGAACTTGCTCTGTAGACCAGGCTATCCTCCAACTCAGAGATCTGCCTGCCTCTGCCTCTGAATCCTGAGCCTAACACACTGAATGCACTAACACACTTTCCTCCTTCTTTTGACAATTCCATACATATAAGCAATATACTATGTTTGTATTTACCCTACTGCCGCTGTCATCAATATTTTGTAGCTACCTTTCCTTTCTCTAAATTTGCTTATTATCAGAGAGTGTCCATGAATGCATTTGGAGGTTAGGAGTTAAGCAAGCAATTGCACACAATGGTACATTTTCCACTTTGCTTCATAAACCTTACTTGTTTCTTGCTCAAGGCCCTTTCGTGCTAATGAACTACCAATTATTTGGCAAATTGTAGAGTAAGTGTTAAAAAGAAAAAACTGGCCAGGAGTGGTGGTGCATGCTTGTAATCCCAGCACTCTGGGAGGCAGAGGCAGGCAGATTGCTGTGAGTTTGCAGCCAGCCTGATCTACAATGTGAGTCCAGGATAGCAAAGGCTACACAGAGAAACCATGTCTCAAAGGGGGGGGGGGCTATATTACTTAAGATTGACAGCTCCTCAAAAAGCAGTGTTTTCATCACTGGGCAAAAATAGCTGCAAGGGTACCCTGAGGGAGGATTTATCAGAGTTGGTGGTTTCAGAGGTTCTAGTCCACAGCAGGCTGATTCCATGTTCTGGGCCTCAGGTAAGGCAGCACCTCAGCGCAGAGGTTCCGAAAGTGTCCAAAAGGTGAGCCAGACAGAAGTCAGGGCGAGGTGTAGCCCCAACACACACCCCATCACCCACACTGTGGTGCTAAAACCCGATAATCTATTCAAATCGCAGATCTATCAATAATTAGGTCATGAGTGAATGGACCTGGAATTACCCTCACAGACATGCTCTAAATAAAGTGTGCTTGGTTAATCTATACATCTCTCGAGCCAACCAGGCTGGCCACCAAGATTGAACATTACAGTATCTTATACTGAAAAAACAAAACTCTCTCAGCCCTTGTAGTCTCAGCTAAAAAGCACTTTACCAAGAAAGCCTTCCTTGTATCCCTCCACTTCCTCCCTCTGTGGCTGATCCCATTATACATTCCCATGGAACTCTCTACTGATCCATACAGCACACAGCACAAACATAATTAATATTTAATCTTCATGATCTATTTACTATCTCTTGAGAACTCTATCAACTTCGATCCTTTTGGTGCCTTTATCTACCAAGCACATTGACAGTACACGGCAGGTATTCAATAAATACCTATCAAAGAAAGTGGAATGAGAGTGTGGTTCAATCAAAGACCACTTGCCTAGAATGCTTGAATCCCTGGAAGGAAAGGGAGGGGAAGATTAAAAATAGCAGTAGCTGGGCAGTGGTGGTGCACATCTTTAATCCATGCACTTCGGAGACAGAGGCAGGCAGATCTCTGAACTTGAGGCCAGCCTGGTCTACAGAGAGAGTTCCCAGGATAGCAAAGGCTACACACAGAAACCCTGTCTTGAAACAAAACAAAAGAAAAAAAATAGCAACAATAGCATTCCAAGCTAAGGCAGATCCCAGTTCTCCTGAGTTTCAGCTCAATCTCAAGTCACAGTCCTCCAAGGATGGTCTCTTTTGTGGTAAAATGGCTAATAACAACAATTGGGGCTGTCTGTATCACTGCACCGAAGTCACTCAACATCAATCCTGTCAACCCTCAAATCACTACGTCCATGTGACAGCCGTGCACTAGTTGACTAGAGCTGAGACCATGTTCCCTTAATGGGTGTGTTATGCCACAAATGTTCTTTCCCAAAACCCCTCTGTAACACTAGCTTCGATACACATCTTTACAACTTTACAACATACCTAAGTACAGCCATTTTGGCCAATGATAGACCAAATACATGATGACGATGGCCTATAAAGTTACATAGTCTAGGGGCTGGAGAGATGCCTCAGAGGTTAAGAGCACTGTCTGTTCTTCCAAAGGTCCTGAGTTCAATTCCCAGCAACCACATGGTGGCTCAAAACCATCTATAATGAGATCTGGTGACCTCTTCTGCTGTGCAGGCATACAGACAGAATATTGTATACATAACAAAAAATAAAACTCTTTTAAAAAGTACAGTCTATCAGGTGATGTTGTGGCAATGCTGGTTTATGCAAATACATAATCAGATGTTTATGTAATGACAGCATTGTATCCAACTGCTAAGCTGCACATAGCTGTATTTGGTACAAGACTCTGAAACAGATTGGCTTATAAAGCCAAGAACCATCCTGGGTATGAACGATCATGTACTCACAGATCCAGCTTGCACACTTCTGTGTACAGCATCAGGTTCTTTTTTAAAAAAAAAAAAAAAAAAAAAAGGACATCATGGGCAAGCAAAATGGGCCAGTGAATAGAAGCCCTTGTCAGCCTGACAACCTGAATCCAATCCTTGGGTTCCACGTGCTGGAAGAACAGAACTTCCCAAAGCAAAGCATAGCAAGAACCAATGCCCGTAGGAGAGAGAGTTCCAAACGTGGGGTAAAATCTCTAAGGCCGCCCAGTTCTACTGTGTGTTCTTGGCCCAAGATACCCAGATAAGACAAAGCCATTCACCTTTGGGATAAATGCCCTGTATCTCTGCAGTAAACCCCCGTGCCTCGGAGAGACATCTGTTCTCTGTGCTTTTCTTCAGCATCCCACTTTGTGGTACGTTCTTCAGTCCCCCACATCCTCCTTTAACTTTGCTGTGGTCCCCTCTTAGTTTTTCTCATTTAGACAACACATCATTTAACTTTTCTGACCTTCAGTTTCTTCATCCATAAAAATAAGAAGTGTCAGGCAGGGGAGTGCACACCTGCAGTCCCAGCACTCATGTAGCTCGTTTTTAAAAACTCTGCTTTACTGGGGGTTCCTTAAAGCGTCTCTCCTCCAACCCCCCAACCCTAAGTAGGAGAGAGGAAGGTGAGTGGGGAGAGGGGGTACAGACTCCTTTCCTTCTCCCGGCTGTTTAGGGTTGATGGTTCCCCTGGGGCTACACCAATCTCCGTCCACAGTAAAGGCAGGAGGTAGTCTCCTCCAAGCACGGCACTGAAACATTTCCCACACCGTCTGTCACTCCAAACTGCTACATGCTACACCACTTCCCTCTCCTGGCTCTCATACTTATATCCCTCAGAGTCCTGGGCCTCTCTGTTCCACACGGGCAGGCCATTACCAACTGGCAAAGACCCTGACACACATGAGACAGTTATCAGCTGTGGACAAACTAAAGCCCAAACTAAAATCCCACACTTGGGATTAAAACAAAAACATATTTACATAACTGAGTTTCTTTTCTTTCTTTCTTTTTTTTTTTTTTTCTTTTTATGGTTTTTCAAGACAGGGTTTCTCTGTGTAGCCTTGACTGTCCTGGGGCTTGCTCTGTAGGCCAGGCTAGCCTCAAACTCACAGAAATCCACCTGCTTCTGCCTTCCAACTGCTGGGATTAAAGGCATGCACCACCACTGCCCAGCTAACATAACTGAGTTTTAAAAGAAACCAAAACTTCCATTACACACTCAGGAGGCTAAAACAGAGGGATGAGCTTCGGCCAGCCAGGGCTCCACAATGAGACTGTAAAATAAAGGAGGGGAATAAAGGAACTAAGCTACATTTTTCTCTTAGATAAGCATTTGATGTGTTTCTAGCACATGGTAACTTTGTTTTACTGTTCTTTCCAAATTCCTAATTAGTCTGTAACTCAGAAAAAAATTTGAGCAAAGATCCCTTCCAATACAGCAAGTGGTTTTTCAGAGTCTGTTCTCTATAATAAAAAAAAGTCTACCTATCCTACTAATCAATGTACAGAATAAAAATAAATGATCCCAAACAAACTCTAAATGTTGAGAAAAAATTAAACAATCGAGGGAGGGGGCGGTCACACAGCTCATGAAATGGGAAACTTGTAAGTCTGAAAGCTCATAAAACTTTACAATACCTATCCCATGAGTAAATAACGGCTGGGAAGAGGTCAGAGAGCAAAGGATTGCTGACAGAGAGGAGACTGCTCAGTGGTGTAGTTGCCTGCAAGTTGAGACATTGAGGCCAATGTCTCATCCTGGGGGATGGGCATGTCAGTGATACAGCTGCCTCTGCACTGTTCCTGTTCCCCTCACCCAGGCTCCAGTAAGTCACCCTAATAAACTCACCGGTTTACCAAGCTGGACTCGGATGGGATCATTCCTTTAATCTGTCATTGCTCTCTATATGGGATGAAAAGGCATTTTTATATCTCCAGAAAAAGTAACTCTACCAGGGGTCTGGCCTCCAGTTCCTGCCTTGGAGTAGGTGGAACTACAGGCACCCTCCAAGTGTGTGGTATTAGGGTTTGAGGATGAATCTGGGCCTCCATACTAAGCCCATGCACAGCACTGAGATACATAGACTTTCAATGCAGTTTCATTTACAATGACCAACTCAAAGGAAATCTCCCTGCCCCCCCCCCCCAATAAGCACAACTTTTGCATAGAGGCATGTGTCTAAAAGCCTGTTCCATCATTGATTTGCTGCAGCTTTAGCTTTCTGGACTCTTCTGAAATGTGGCAATACCACTGACTTTACTGTAGTGATGAGGAGGATGGGTATCTACGACCACAGTGGGTGCTGCAGTCAGTGTCCCTGCTGTGCTTCTAAACCAAGCAGATCTTCATGGCTAATTCCAACTGTATCGCTAAGGGATCCTCCCTGCCACCTGCTACTTTTCTAGAGCTTTCTTCTGCCCCTAAAAGACTGAATAGCCCTCACAGACAATTCCATAAAAGTAACAAGTATGTGTACATTCGAGGTACAGAGATAACTACGGGAAGTATCTCTGTTACAAATGTCTAGGGGGCTTGCTGTTTGAAGGGCCTGCTATGGTGTGCTCGAGTTCATTGCCGAGAGCCAAGCCAAGGGCTTCCTTCCCTGCTGGGAAGCTCTGAGGACAGAGGGTCAAGTCCACGAAGTTTGTGGCTATCTACAGTGGAGACTCTGTTAACTGCTATGTTGATATCGCCTGTACTGTGTGTGGCTCACACAGGATGTGCTGAGCATTGAAGTAAAGATCAGGCCGCCCACGTGGTAAGATCAGCCCTAAGAAGCCGCTGCCTGTCCATGTGAGCATCCTGAAACCTAAAGAGGAGATCCTACCCATCACCCCCATCTCAAAAGTTCAGGGAAGTCAGGGCCAAATGCCATGCCCCGGCCAGTGCCTACAGGGTCTTGGCACCTTCATCTGGAGGCTGGATGTGGCTCTGTGAAACATTTAATAAAACGTCACACAGAGACAAGATTAGATACCCCTCCCCCCGAGAGATTGTGCAAGGTCGTGTTCGTGTGGAAAGGCGTATGTCTCAACTCTCAAGTCACTATACTGAAGGCTTATGAGAGAATTTTATGTGTTGAGTACGTGCAGCCACCAGTTAAGCCCTTGCAAGCGAAATCTCATTTACACTTCACTACTGTCATATCCCTAAAGTTTTAACTGAAGAAACGGTCGCTGAATGTGTATGACATCCGCCCAAAGTTGCACCCTCTAAGCGGCACAGCTAGGCCTGAAAGAACGTCTAATCTAAAAAAAAAAAAAAAACAAAAAAAAACCACAAAACTATTCCCATGGATGTTCCAAAATTAGTCCCCCCCCCGCCCTTCCGAAAACCCCGATCTTCTTTTCTAATAGCAAACCCCCCCCCCCCCCCGGGGGGGGGGGGTGCCACCGGCTCGGGCGCTCCAGCCCTGGCTCACGCATTCCCACAAGCCGACGCAGCTTGCGAGCTAGCCCGCTCCGGCCACAGGTGCCCTTCGCGGGCTCCGACACGCACACACAGATCAGGCGACCTCAGCGATGAGCACGCCCAGACAGCAATCCAGTCCAGTCCCGGAGCCTGAAACCCAGCTTCCTTCAAAGTGGGGCGCCGCGGGGAACCGGAAGCCATCAGGGCCCACGGCCTCCCTCCAGCGTGCCCCTCCTCTCCCGGATCTGAATCTGATGCACCGAGAGCCTCGGGGCACTGTCCTCCTCGTTCTCCCACACCAAAAGCTTCTTACAACCCCTGTCCTTTACCTAGTGGTCGGAGAGACCATGGTCAATCAACTTCATCCTCCCGCCTCGGAATTGACGTCATGCAGCTTGGCTCCGTCCAATCACAACACTTGGGACGCACATGCGCTTTGGAGATGCACCACCCTCCAGGCGTAAGGTTTATTATTTGAGGTCTGGGTGAAGGTTTAAGTCCTTTCCCTTAAGTCTTCCGGAGGGAAATTCTGAGTAGTGCTTTGGGTTCCATAGATTTTCAGAAAAGCCAAATTTACGCTGCAAAGCAAGACAGATGTCATATTGCTGTTATCCCAGCACTTGGGAAGTGGAGGGAGGAAGCTCAGGAATTCAGCATCCCCTTCGAGCTAGGCGACAGGACACTCTCAAAAAGCGAAAGTAAATCTACAGCTGTCCAGATTGTTGTAAAGAGCGATGTGATGTTAATACAAAGATGAGGGGACGGTTATCAGTTAAAAAGAGAGAGAGATTAGAAACAAACCTACACACAAGTCATCACTTTCTCTCCCAACAAGTAGCCACGGTTACCACAGTTAGGAACGAATAGCGCTAGACCTACCAACTGGGGCCCCGAGATACAACCTTCTGTTTAAGGCAGGGTCTCACTGTATATGTAGCACACGTGGTCCTCATTCTCCCGCTTCAACCTCCTGAAAGCAGAGGTCACATACCACCACACCTAGCAAGACTTTTACCTTATGCAAAAGAATTCTAGACAGTGCACTGACCTAAACGTAAAAAGCACAACTCCAGACAATAGTACACTATCATAGCCATAGAGAGGAAAAATAGGAAAGGACTGATAAAAATTAACATAGCAGGAATTTGAATAGGCACGTGAATCTCTGCGAGTTCGAGAATAGACTGATCTACATAGTGAATTTTAGGACAGCCAGAGCTACAGAGAGACCCTGTCTCATAATAATATAAATTTATTAAAAAATAATATAAAGACACAACAGAATGAAAATGCAATAAGATTTGTAATACATATATCTGGAAGTAAATTTTATTTAGAAAGATACAAAGCTTTATTTTATTTCCATTGTATATTCATTACATATGGGATGAGGTTAAATAAAGATATTTTCATACAAGTTTATAATTTATAATGTACTTTGGGTATATTCCTCTCCATCCTCTTTACCCTCCCCTTTCTCATCCCCTTATCATCATGCAATTAGCTGTGTATGTCTTTCTACAGCTATCATTCCTAATTCATCAATTATGTTTATATTAAAATCCTTATAAGTATCCACATATTCTGGAAAAATAGTGTAATGTTTATTTTGTTGTTGCTTTTTTTTTTTTTTCTTACTTTTATTTTGAGAGATAGGATTTTCCTAAGTTTCCCAGCCTGGATTCAATGCACTCAACCCATCCTCCTGCCTCAGCCTCCTGAGTAATGTTACTTTTTAAATCTTTATGTGTATGGCTATCTTACCTGCATGGATGTCTATGGACCAACTGTGTGGCAGGTGCCCAGAGTCTCCAGAAGAGGGCATCAGATATCCTAAGACTGGAGCCCTGGCTGTCCTGGATCTCCTCTCGAACTCACTGAGATCCACCTGCCTCTGCCTCCTGAGTGCTGGGATTAAAGGTGAGTACCACAACCACCTGGCTGAATGGGTGAAATTTAAAACAGAAAAACATGACTAGGTACATAGTTCAGAAATGGAACATGTGCCTAAACTCAAGTTGTCAATCAAACCTATAACAATTTTTTCTCCTTCTTATGTTTTTTTAAACATCTGTTTGCATGTACACCTACATGCCAGAGAAGAACATCAGGTACCTTTATAAATGGCCATGAACCACCATGTGGTTGCTGAGAATTGAACTCAGGACCTCTGGAAGAACAGCCAGGGATCTTAACACTGAGCCATCTCACCAGCCCCACATGGAGCTGCTGCTTTGTATTGAAACTAAAGAGGTGTGTGTGTCTCTGTGTGTGTATTGGAATAGATAACTTAGCTTCACAGGTTCAGTCCCTCTAGACCCCATATATGCATATACATATAAGTATATATATTCTATCAAATCTCTCATATATGTATGTATGTATGTGTATATATATATATATATATGATGTATATGTGTGTACTTTATTAGATTAGCTTATAGGATACAGTCCAGTTTATCCAACAATGTCCATCTCATGATAGAAAAGCCAACAATCTGGTAGTTCAGTTCATAAGGCTGGCTGTCTTAGCAGTTCCAATCTGGTGCTGGAGTCCAGGTTTTCAGTCTACATTGGAATCCTAAAGAAGTTGGATTTGACACCGGCCCCAGAAACAGGACAGATGAACTTGCCAGCAAGAGTGAGAGCAAGCAGGCAGAAGAGCAAAGCTACCTTCTTTCGTGTTCTTTTATCTGGGTTGATATCAGAAGGTGTGGCCCTGATTTAGGATGGGTCTTCCTACTTCAAATAACCTGATTAAGGAAAATCCCTCTCAAGAGTGCCTTGTGTCCCAGTTAGTTTCAGATGTATCAAGCTAACAACCACGATTAGCTATCATGGTCTCTAATGAGGTCCCAGGAGATGTAACAGCTTTAGGGAACAAGAGATTACTTCTGCCCTATTAGCTCTCAACTCCTGCTCCACACGTTGTACAGGACGATCCTCTGAGTCTATCTGCCACCATCTTCAGGAGTTTATGGGAGCCTGCTCAAAACTGATCATCCGTGAAGGAGGGTGTGGGAAAGGTCATAGAACCCTCACCTGAGTATCCAGCCACACCCCCAACAAATTGAATACAGTACTGTCCTTGGGGCCTGGGAGGAGGGACTAGAGTCTATAGGTAAGAATCTGGAGAAGGGAGCTCCAGCTATGGGGCCATGGGTTGAGCATCATCCCTGAAGGAAGCAGACTTTCCAGTATGACTGCTTTAAGGTCACTTTCCTGCCTGTAACCCCTGAACAACGGCTCTGTAAGCAGGTCTACGAATCGGTTCCCCTCAGGTGTACATTGGTGGGATTGTAAGACCTGGAGTCTCACTGCTCAGGAGCTCAGGATCACGCCCTTTCCAGGAACTCTCACAGACCACAACTCAATGCAAAAGCAAGAGGTTTTATTGCTATCGCGATAGGGTCGCCCCTCCAAAGATAGGAGACGACCCCGAACATGCAAAGCACAGGGTTTTTATACCTGAAAATCAAACCACTTTGCTCTATAGTTTACAGCTGGTTGTAGATAGTTTACAGCTGGTTGTTTCTCAGAACAGTTCACCCCTTCAAGAGCTATCTACACCTGCCTTCAATTCAAATGATCACAGTTGTTCTTCTCATTCCCAGGTGGCCCCTCATTCCCAGGTGGTCCCTCAGGATCAGACTTTGGTTTGTCCCTGGGACCCTGAGTGGTGGGCAGATATTTCTTAGCACACTCTACAAACCCCAGGGTGAAAATTCTTGGAATAAGCAGTACCAAGAAGATTGATGTTCTGCCTTCCATTACCATGGAATCAAGGAGAAAAGTTGCTTGGGGAAATTGAGACAAACAAGCTTAAGGAATGTCTTAGCCACCTTGGGCTCTACCTGGTTTGACCTGTGTACACACCCTTCTTCTAATAATGCACTTGACAGCCTAGAACACTTATCTGAATGTACAATACACACACTGCCTCTCCAAACAATGCACCCAGCAACTTGATAGCAACCTAGGGAATCCACCTGCATCAGGCTGCATGCACAATAGAATAAGTTTTCCTTGCTGGTCAGTGGTGACGCATGCCTTTAATCACAGCACCCAGGAGGCAGAAGCAGGAAGATCTCGGTGCGTTTGAGGCCAGCCTGATCTATAGACCTAGTTCTAGGACAGCAGGGCTACACAGTAAACCCTGTCTCTATCTCAGAAGAAAAATAGTTTCCCTTAATTATCATTAAACTTAGCAGGGCACAGTGACCCATGTCTGTAATCCCAGCACTCAGGGAGGCAGAGGCAGGTGGATCTCTGTGAGTTCGAGGCCAGCATGGTCTGCAAAGTGACTCCAGGACAGCCAAGGCTACACAGAGAAACCCTGTCTCAAAAAAACAAAGCAAAACAAAAATCATTAAACTTAGATTCTATTCTGTTTCACTTATGTTCAGGTACAAGAGAAGGAAGGTCAATCCAGCCTAAATTAGTTTTAGGTGTACAGGTAAAGTGAGCCTTCAAAATGAACTTTTAGGGGAAATCTCCTATTTGCCATTCTCTATGCCTATGCATACTTGGGTACACATATGATTAAAAGTAGACAATTCTAGGACATTGCTGTCAAATGCTACTCTTTGAGCACACAGCTGTCATCATCATCAAAACCCAAATGATCCAGCCTGTTGGCATTCCCACGCAGGAGGAGGAGGTATAGAGTCTCTGGATTCGGGCCTTAGCCAACAGCGGTGGTAGAAAACAAATAGTTTTGTTAATGATGAAGCATTGAGCCAAAAAGTGGTGTGCATCAAGCAATCCTTCACATGACTATGAAACCAGAAAGAAATCTTACTTCCTTATATAGCCAAACTGTTATGGCCCAACGTATATGCTATGTCCCAGATAAACAATTAGTCCTGAAGTAAACAGTGTTGACAACACTGTCATATATTTGGTCCTTACCCTTTCCAGTAATTTGTGTGGCCCTCTGTGTAAAGATAAGACCAAAAATAAAAAGCGAAATACTGTATTCTAGCAGTGGGATTCTAACAACTTGGAGCCTGAGGACGTGATGATTTCTTATCTATCTATCTATCTATCTATCTATCTATCTATCTATTTATTTATTTAGGTTTTTCTAGACAGGGTTTCTCTGTGTAGCCTTGACTGTCCTGGGCTCGCTTTGTAGACCAGGCTGACCTCAAACTCACAGAGATCTGCCTGGCTCTGCCTCCCTTGTGCTGGGACTGAAGATGAGTGCCACCACACCCAGGTATGATGATTTCTAATACATTAAACAGACACTTAGAACTTAATGACTAATGTTCTCTGGCACTTCACTTAATGGCCAGTCTCAGGGAGGACTTTAGTTAATGAGTTGCCAAAAGAAAACAAAACAAAAACCAGACTTTACTAGAATTCTCTATAGAGCCAACTTTTGATTCTTCTGCCTCTACCTCCTCAGTACTGGGACAGGATTGCCCCACCATGGCCAATTTGTGCAGTGTTGGGGATGGAACTTCTTACAAACTTGCACTTTATCAACTGAGCTCTATTGCCCATCCCCACAGTATCTGCCTTTATTAAACTTTTATAACGTGGCCAAGAGAGCTGGCTCATCAGGGAAAAGCACTAGCCACTAAGCCTGACAACCTGAGTTCAATTTCCAAAGTTCCCTTTACACCTCCACATATTCATCGTGCCCCCCTCCCCCGTACATAAATCAATGTAATTTTTAAAATGTTTGTATCAATTTTGGCCTGGTGAACTTTACTCTCAGCATGTTAGCTATTTCAGTCACAGCAAGCTATGCTATTTTTTTTTTTTTAGTTGTATTTTTTTTTCTCCTTTATTTTTATGGATGGTACACATGAATGAAGTGCCTGAGGAGGCCGGAGGAGGGTGTCTGATCCCCAGGATTGAAGTTACAGATGGCTGTGATCCACCACGTAGGTGCTGTGAACTGACCCCAGGTTCTCTTGAAGAACAGCCAGTGTTCCTAACTGATGACCCACCTCTCCAGCCCAGGGTTTTTGCTTTTGCTGTTTGTTATTTTGGTCTAGGTCTCACTACGTAGCAGAGACTGGCCTCAAACTCCTAATCCTTTCCCAGCTGCCCAAATTTTAGGATTATAGACATGGGTCACAACATTAGGGTTTTTGTTTGTGTGTGTGTGTGTGTTGTTTTGTTTTTCTAGATAGGGTTTCTCTGTGTAGCCCTGGCTATCCTGGACCTCGCTCTGTAGACCAGGCTGGCCTGGGTGTGGTGGCACACACCTTTAATCCCAACACCTGGGAGGCAGAGGTAGGTGGATCTCTGTGAGTTTGAGGTCAACCTGGTCTACAAAGAGAGTCTAGGACAGCCAAGGCTATACAGAGAAACCATGTCTCAAATAAATAAACAAGCAAACAAACAAAAAACAAAGAGAAGAAGAAGAAGAAGAAGAAGAAGAAGAAGAAGAAGAAGAAGAAGAAGAAGAAGAA